TGCAGGGGCCCGGGAAAAATAACTGCATCACATTCTAACTACGTTTAAATTCTAAATCATTGGGTCTGGGAACTTTTGACGTGTATTTACGTACTCTCAGATTTTACAGTGTTAGAAATATGATTCGCCTTTTTCTTTTAAATTATGACAAAGATAAACAATTCTCGATCGTGAAAATGTGTCAAACGACAATATGAATGTCAGTCTCGCATGCATGTGAATAGCCCCAACTTTGATTTCTTTGTTTGTTTTCTTTGTTCCGTTCTATTAATATTCACGATTTGATTGTCATGGCATATTCCTCTGCTTGGCAAGACTTCTGTCGAACGACTGCAGTCCGAAGGTTAATCGAGGCTGTCTATATAAAGGACACGGGAAGAAAATCTGCAAATTGAATCAAAATTGTTCGTGTCTCGCTTTTATTGAAGAATGAAAAAAAGTATGTACGCATTGCTGCTCTGTGCTCCAAAGGCCGGTCCATAGCGAACACAACGCGAATGTGTGACATTAGATCCAAACACTGAAACACATTTCAACTCGATCGAAACTTTGCTGCAGATTGTTTTCCTGCCGTACAATTGGCTTCGCTTTCACATTCGAATGCAGTATGAACCGGCCTTAACTCGGGGCAAAAAAAAGAAAGAAAGAAATATAATTAAGCTCTGGTGGAGATATTTGACATTCTTTCCTGTCCCTGGACGAAAGGACTTATATGCAGCAAGGTATGAGACGGAGAGAACCCCCCCCCCTGCTTTGTGTTGGTCATTGTCTCGCAGGAATCTGAGGAATTCCTTTCAGACATCTTGGGGGGATGTGTTAAGTAACAATAGTCTTGAATGTGCATAGGGATTGGACATGTTGGGGGGGTACCCCCGGTCTCATTTCTTGCTGGGTATAAAAGGACTACGGCTGTGAGTGAAGTCTGGTACCTAAGACCTGAACATGGAATCATTGCGAATGGAATGGAGTCATAAAACTCCAGGTGATCACTCCAGCGTAGGCCGAACTAACTATTTGGCTATCTGTTGAAAGACGTTTTGAAGAGGGAGTGGAATGCATCTTGATGATAACCTATTTACCTCAAAACAAATTTGATGTTCCAATCACAGAGTTTTAAATAGAGAACACAGTGGATCAGATGGCCACAGACACTATAGTAATAAGTAGCATTAATATATCACAACTTGCAAAATGCTCCACTACCCTAATTTTTTCACAGGGAGGCCAACATGCTGGGATGAAAATACGCAACTTAGAGATCGAAGTGAAGCGCACTACCTCTTCACGAGCCTAATGGACCTCTTCATTAGTAAATTCATATAAAAGCACAGTCCAACAGTCTTTCGTGTAATGAATACGTCACACGCACACGTGCGTGTGTAAAATGCATTCAAGTGCGAGAACTAGCGTGGGAACCTACAAGCGCGTACTCCGTTCGTTTGTACGGTATCGTACTGGTCTTAATTTGACGTCACGCGCGTAACTGAATGCGTCACGCGCTTAATGATGTGTGAAAAAGGCATTACGGCGAAACGAGCGCATACACTATTCGTTTGCACTGCACTTTCTAGTTCACAGTGATGTCACAACTCGATACTCCGTGATTTTGAAAATATTAGACTCGCGTTGCAGCCGTTCATCGGTATGTCAACAGTAAAAACACCACCAACTTGTGTGAATTATGGTAATCAAGCGGTTGCAGCATAATGGCTCGTCATAGAACATCATAGAACCCTCCTAGACCAGGCTTCCAGAAGAGAAAAGTGATAATCTGAGAGGGAAAGATCACAAAATCTGTACCCCTGTACATTTTCAATGTGTTACTTAAGACGTGTTTTGCCGCCTCGGCCATTTATACGCATGCGCGCATAATGGCGCACTTCCAATGTTGCTCACCGAAGTACACACTGTCAGGAGGCTTTGCGGAACAATTATGGCCCTTTTCCAATACTCGACTTGGACTCCGTCTCAGACTTCGTTCCCAAAACCAATCCCCGATTGTGGGCCTGAAGCGTTTAAATTAAATTGGATTACTGTAATTTCTGGCTCTCTTGCATCTTGTTTGATGTTTTGTGGCACTATTAGACTGATTACTGCGCTTACAGCTTCAACGTCAGCTAGTTAAAAACAGTTGAAGCCTGAGACGGAGCCGAAGTTGGGTATTGGAAAATGGCCTATGAGTGCCTAATTGGGCCCGGCCTACGGAACACTCAATGGTTGAGCGACAATAGAATCGCGCTTGCGCCAACAAAATGGATGACAGTCTAAGTGCATGGCCACGGAAAGCTTGAAAGAAACCACGGAAGATGGTCGACAGGACTAAAGGAAAAAGATTTCCTCACCAGTTTATTAATTCGGCAAAATTTGTGAGGCTATTCTCCTTGCCGGTGTTGTATTTTCTTCTAAATAATTTTATCAGTGTTTTCAAATTGAATTAAAACACAATTCCGGACTGGCAGAGAGAGAGAAAAAATGATGTTTTCGTGTTCCGCTATTCATTGGAGTGATTATGGCGAGTGAAAAGTGAAGATTTTCGAAACTTTCACCATAAATGCCCTTGAATGAAACGCTAGGGAAAGGCAACTTCCATCTTCAACGTGATTATCAGGTGCGAAGGATAATAGGCAGGAAGCGGTTAGTCTTTGGCAGGATTGTAAGTGAACCGGTGCAATTCTCCAGAGTCGTCCTCCCACAAAACAGAGCCTCGTGCGCGCAGTGCGGGAAGTGCAGCCAAACTCTTTCCCCGGGGGCCTTCCCTGCAAATTAAAGACGGCCCCCCCGGGGGGGGGGGTTCTCTACGGGTCTTTGACGCGTCCGCCGGTCGATAGGAAGGAGACTCTCGCAAGGGGAAGGACTGCGATGCAAAAGACGTGAAAGATATTTAGATTACAGCTGGGGAGAAATGAAAGCATTAGTTGATGAAATGGCAAATCAAATGAAAAACCAGTGAATCTTTACACATAATAAACAAGAAGACGGAGACGATGCTAAAAGGCCTATCTGCAGTGAACAGCTTGCATCGATATTCATAGTATTTCATTTTATTCTTGTAAGGCCGGTACATTATGCTCGTTGAAAATTGAAAAAAAAACGCAGCGAAGGGACTTGATGTCCGTTTACGTCGACTGCAAAATTGCCGTTGGTTGAAATGTCTTGCGGCTTTTTTTATTACGTCATGATGATGGTCGAGACTTGCAGTGTGAAGCCTTTGTCGAAAATTCTAGAGAGATATTTCCTTCTGAAACACAGTCAAGGGGCCACGGCGCTACCGCGCCGGGCTTGAAACGAGTACGTCAGGGGCCTGGCGATAGCACTGAAGTTACTCTGAACGTGAAACTTAAGTTGCAGTTGCGAAATTTAAGGAGAGCATTTCTATGTAACGGGGTTTGTTCCCAGTTTTTTCTTCAGAGATGTCCGACGAGGCGCATTCGTTCATATCACTAGCGTGAAAGAACAACCAATTTCGAATTTCGAGGGTGCTTATTTCGATTGCATTATTTTATGTTTTGCTCGATAGTAGAGACCGCGGTAACGCTCTCAGTGGTCCTTCGCAGTGGCCCCCACCAATGGCAGTAGGCATTGACGGTCGTTCTCCGTAAAACGCAACACAATGCTTTCCGCACAAGGGGGCCGTCGGAAATGTCCAGTAAAACAGCGCTTAGATTCGTTCACAGCGTGGCGTTCAGAACAGAGCCGTGCCACTGCCGTTCAGAAGGCTAAATGAGCGTGACTTGGCCGGTTGGGCTAGACAACGGCGCCGTGCCGAATTCAGTTTGCCGGGCCACCAAATTCTTCTTTTTGTACTCATAAATACATTTCCGAATGTTTAAAATCAGTACATTGGCGTTTGGCACGGAATGTAGAACGGGCTATTCAAGTCCTTGAATCGTTCATTTTTTTCTCACAAATTGTCTTTTAAGGGGAGCACGCCCGTGGCCTTGAACAGACTGTACGAGTTCATTTACGAGCCGCCGGTCAAGGTGGCCATCTTCGGCCCGATGCTATCTTCACTGACCGAGGTGGTCGCTGAGGTGATTGGCAAATGGAACATCGTGGAGGTAGCCGCAATGATGATTCTCTTAGATAAATTTTTCTGCAATTAAAATATTTACTTCTCTATTAGGTTAAAAGCACGGAAAAGCGGACGTTTTCAAATATTTCAAATTTTCGATGCTTCTTGGAAAACTGAGGGCGTTGTTGCTGTCATCTAGGGAAGACATGGCTCAGTGCATTGGTTTTTTTTTCTGTTTAAATATGCACGCAATGAAATTTTCTTATAATCACTTTTTGTGTATGTCTCTACTCTTTTCTATGTATGAGGACCGTATGGACTCTTATTTTGAGTTGAGGTGAACTGAAAAATGCATTTTTTAAACATTCAAAACTAACCAAGCATTTCTGGGTAAGTGAGGGCGCTTTTGCCGTGATGTAAACCCACGAAGACACAGCTCAGTTTGCAAGTTATCATGTTGAAATTGTGAACTCCAACTTTGCTATTTGAAATTATCTCTGAGAAGAGGTTGCTCCCCCACTTATTGCTACAGACTTACACAAAGATAAATTGAAAAAGGAAATGAAATCTAAATCCAGAAAGTCTTTGTGCAAAAATCAGTGCAATATTGAGGTTCAATACCTTGGATGACATGATCGTCTTGCTCATGAATATACAATATATCTTGAAAGAGAGTTCAGTTGTTCGTAGGGACGCGGCGACCGCCGTGCCTGCACTTAATATGTGTTTGTAAACAAGCAAAGTGCAGTTCCCACCAAAGGAGCCTCCGTTGCTCGGAAAATTAAGTCCTCTCTTGGCCCCGCTGGGGCGGATGATGTCGGTGACCTGCTCTGTTCATTCGGAGTGTACTGGACAGTGGCCAGATTGTTGATTACGCGTGACCGTTTTCTGGCCAGATGTCACCCGGCGCTTCCACGCCAGTTCTGAGCCAGCGCGACAAGTATCCCCACATCTACCGCATGATCACTTCGGCGGCCAGCTTCTCCTCGGCACAGCTCGAGCTCTTCCGACTGTTCGGCTGGAACAAGATCGCCATTCTACACCAGACCAAGGAGCCGCACGTCGGGGTAAGTTTGCTTTAATGTGCCTCCGCGTAAGTCATGCCCGCAGCCATAAGTAATACATTATACAAATCTATACGCTTAAGTTAAGAAACCTTTCCCACAAGTTTTAGCCTCTTTCTCATTATTTTTATCTGTGGGAATTTTCCAACTATTTATTTTGAACATAACTCTGTACTGCTTTTACCATCAACACGAACTTCGCGGCGCCACCCAGCACTGTGCCAGAGGTGATATGGCACTTAGGCCAACATAGACATTTTCCAAGACATTTTCGTGATCGACCGTATTGATTTCTTCCAGGTAATTCCTGGGGCCCACGAAACACTTCACTTGATAGTGCGTTTCGACGTTTATAAGACATTTTCGTGATCGACCGTATTGATTTCTTCCAGGTTTGGTCACATGGTGTTGGTGCATACCTGAAGCATCCCCGTTCGGCGAAAGACCCGACTGATCAAATTTTGAGTCGCGCCAAAATACATGTTGTCAGGCCTATTGCATTCGTAATCTCAGTGTAATCGATTCTTTTCGATTCTGACTGCAGGTCATAAACGAGCTACAGAATTTGGTATCGGCCAGTAACTATTCGATTATTGGTGCTGAGAGTTTTTACAAGGACCCTTATGATGCCATTGAACGCCTCAGGGTAAATACTGATTTTCTCCATGCCTGATATAATGAAATACAAGCATATTATATTGTTCCAATGTTCCTTCCCTGTTACTCCTAATCGTCGGTGGCAGCAAACTGCCAACCTGTTAGAAATGTAAAACTCGAGAATTGACTAAGACCATCCCAATGACGGGCCTCAACAGTAACTTGAAGCGATGTGAAGTCAACGAAACTCCACTGAAACGACGTATATAGGCAATGTATTGACCGAGTTTCTCTGTTGCCGAAAGTGACCGACAAGCCTGACTTCTACATCACTCGTCAACAAGTTGAGTAATCGACTGGATTCTTAATTCGTGTAGATCCTTTTCAAAATTTCTAGCTTATTTACCAATCTATGACCACAATGCTGTAGATGTATAGAAGCTTTGCACGGTAGCCATCTTGTAGGGCAGTTCCTTTGTTCCACAGGGAAACCTCGTTTGTTCTTAACCTGTGAACCAAAAGCTTTTGCCTGCAAGATGGCAGCCATACTAATCCTCTTGGGATAAGAGTTGTACTGGAAGCATCGCTGGATACCAATATTCCCAGTGGATAGCAATTACGTGCAGAAGCCAGGACCATTGAATTGTTTAATGGAGAGAAAAAAAGTGGATTGCTGTGATGAGGTTTTAAACCAGTATAGGCGACAGATACCCGAATAAATTAACCTTTTCCCATGTCTGGTTGTTAATACGGGGATTGATTTTTTCGGAACCTCGATCAACTTTGGCCGTTTTTATCGATTAAAGGCCGACTCACACTTGGCGCAAAAGCGGGCATGGACACGCAATTATGACGTCAGAGGAGGTATCCATGCTGGGAATTTGCAAAGGTTGAACAAATTTTTTTTAAAATCTTTTTGCGACGTCGAATGGGCTGCACTTGCGCGTTCAGCCGACATATGAACTGGCTTTTACTCGATGTGTTCCTTTCCATGAACACCCATTTCAGCAAGGAACATGCAAAGTTTTATGCATGAACATAAAACTTAGTCATAACGTCAATAGCGACTGACCCACACAGTTTAAATGACAGTATCATTTTCATGACTTTGCAGAATAAAGATGTCCGAATCATTGTATCTAGTTTCTACGAGGACGTCGTGTGGAAGGTCTTTTGCAGCGTAAGCATTTTTCATAAATCATCGGAACAGGCTGTTTATTTTTGCCTTGATTTATTTCTTCCGCTGTACTGTACAGTAAGTCTCCCAAACAGCCAACCCAAACGTAAGAGTCATTTTTTTCAAAAAGTACCTGTCTTAACTAACTGATTTGATAAGAAATCAACGTTAATAGTGTTTTCTATTTAAACTACAAAATTCATGTAAAGATCGTTTTGCGTTGCGGAAATATACTTAGTTACATAGTACAACTCAGTTTTTGTTCAGTCCGATGGAAATTTGCGCAAGTGTTTCTTTCAAGTGTAATGCAATACGGGCGTTTCACAATAGTGCGCCTCCAAGAGTTTGCAATGCGTTGACCAATCACAATGCACGAGATGTGTGGATCCCTTCCTAACGCGCATTGGGTCGACGATTTCGTGCATTGTGATTGGCCAACACAATGCAAACCCTTGGAGGCACACTATTGTGAATTGCCCGTATTCACTGAATTCAAATCTTCAACTGTCAAACATATGTTTTGGGTCCATATATTTACTTTGTTGAAATTTCATCCCAGCTTTAAACGTGATTACACTAATGCTTAATACACGGGGCAATACCTATTTCATTTACTGCACAGTTTCAGCGTCCAGTGAGTTTTTAACGTGACCAACTTACCACGGTCAATTTGCACCAAGGTGCTGATCTTATCTGTAAAATTAACTTTGAACCGTTTAGGATCCTGTTCATTTGTTGATGAAAGACAAAGAGGGTTTTCTACAACTCAAAAGAACCCTGTGGAATTTAGGCTCCTCGTTCAGTAGGCCTTTCCAGTGATCTCATAATGTTAAATGGTGTTATATGTCGCAAACATAGCATTGTGCTTGCTGCCGTCAGTCCCATTAGACAAGCCTATGTAACCGGGATTATTTCCGCAACAACGAAATATAAATGGAAAAAATACTTTAGGCCTAAAAGCTTCAGTTTGATAGCAAAATTAATAATGATTTTATGAAAGTTCGAAATTTGCAAACGTCATCGAAAGAATGATTGCAAAATAAACAACAACAACAACAACAGTACAACAATCTGGTTATCAACTCGTGATTGGCTGTATCTGTTGACTATTAATAGAAAATAAAAAGTCCTTGGTTATTATGATTAACATTAATTTCCTCCATTGCCTGTTAAGTTAAACATTTCTGGATTGGCGTTATACTCTTGTCTCTTCCTCAACCAGATTTACAAGTTGGGCATGTTCGGGCCCAACTACGTGTGGATCATCCCTGGTTATTTCACCAATGGCTGGTGGGCAGCGGACAACAACGGCGTAGAATGCACACCGGAGCAGTTGAAGACGGCCAGCGAGGGGTACCTGACTATCACCTTCAGTATGTACGGGCTGAGTGAAGACCCGGGTATATGTGGGAAGGTAAGGACGGCTGCAGGCCCGATTTCGAATCGGGCGATCTTTGGCAGAGGTAAAGCTTTGCGGTGCTCTGTAGCTCTGTTGAATCTCCCACCGTTTTGCTGTTGTATTCAAATTGACATTAAGCGGTCCGGGAGTAGGAAAGCGGCGCCATGTTTTTCCCTGAAAGGTAATTTTCCCCCCAATTTTTCCAAATTTGATGTGAAAGGCTGTTTGGCAATATATTTCGCATCCTTTCTCCCAGTACGTGTTAAACACACCACAATATGGTGTCACTTCTGAAAAAGCCCATCATGAAAAATTCAATATCCCTAACAAAATGGCGGCAAAAATAAATCCAGTTATGAGAAAACATGAAAACAATTCTTAAATAATTGTGATGAAATTTCAAACCATGAAAACCTTGAAAATAATAACTGTAAATTTAAAAGATGGGTGGTTTTTGAATGGGCAGATTTCTCTTTAAGCAATGTTAAACTGAGATTATGACCATGTATTTTTATCTAGTGAAATGTATTTCCACTTAAACCTTCAAAATGCACCCGTCTCCAAAGTTGAGAAGATTCAAGAAGATGTCTGAATTATCTTTAGCCTGGAAATAGCCGGGCTAAATCCTCCCTCGACTTTATTTCCGTTGTCTAAGCGCGTCTGTGTAAGCTCCAAGCCTTTTTACAAATTAGGACCTACAGAAGACCGCAAACATTGCGGCGGCGGGATTTGAAAACATGTAGCTCGCTGTAAATCTCTAATACTGAAGCAAGATACGAGACGGAGAGAACCCCCCCCCCGCTTTGTGTTGGTCATTGTTTCCTTGGAATCTGAGGAATTCTTTTCCAAGATTTTGGGGGATGTGTTAGGTAACAATAGTCTAGAGTATGTATAGCGATTGAACATGTAGAGGGGGGATACCCCTCGGTCTCATTTCTTGCTGGATATAAAGTCTCTTATGAAGCGCTACAGTCACCGTCAATGGGGATTAACTGTCCCCACGCTCCTGGTTACATCACTTCACTTAGACGCCACAAGAGTTCCGGGAGGAGATCGCCAGTGAGGTCGGCTACACCATCTCGGTCACAAACCGCGGCTCAGCTGCCATGGGTTACGACGGCATCTGGGCCTTGGCCCTGGCCATGGATCAGGCAGAGGCCGACCTGACCGGCCGGCTGGATTCGTACCGGTACGGGGACGTGGAGTACGCCCGGTCGGTCGGTAGAAGCATCCACCGTCTCGGCTTCGACGGTATGTCGGTAAGAATTCAAAGAAATGTGGTTGTATTTGAATGGATCCCAGTTCACTATGAAATACCTGGTATTAAAACTGACCACCTTGCTAAATCTGCAACTCAAAAAAGTTTCAATGATTACTACTCCCGTTTTCAATATCAGAAGTTAAAAGCACTCCTAATCTGACCTCAAACAAAATTGGAAACAGCTATTGACTGGAAATAAGGACATCCTATGTAAAGATTCTCATGAGCCATCTTTCACCATCTCCTGTTGGGGCATGAGCTGATGGAATGAAGCCATCCTCTACAGACTTCGCAGTGGGAGACAGCTTGGCCCTGGAGAAAGCCTTCAGTCAGTAACACTGTGTTGCTGGACGGTTATGGCACGGTAACTGCACGATTCTCCATTCGATTTTCTGAGCTATTCTTCAAAGCTGTGGCACACTGGACACATACTCTGCCATACCTAAGACCTAGTCGTTGACACGTGGAGCGCGCCCTCGATTATGGTGGCAAAACGTGCCATTGTTCTCCGTGACGTCCGCCTCCACAACTGAGCTTGAAGCTAATTAGGGGCCTAATTATGTCGTTTCTCATTTCTAACCGTTCGATATTTTGGCGCTGAACACATTTCATGCTGCCGACTCTGTCCGGAATATCATACTAAGGGAAACAAATGATATTCGGGGGAAAGCGAGCAGTGCAGGCCTGTACCCACTATCGGAGCTGTAAGGACTCGGGTCACAATTTTAGTGTCTCGACTCGAGTCCAAACTAATAAATTACTCGACTCGACCGAGTCACTGCGAGCAAATCACTCGACTCGAGTCCCTCATCAGAAGACACGACTCGGAAGGAAAGTTTATAAGACTATGAGTCCCAAAAATAAAAGCATACTTCTTTAGGGGAAAATTATTTGCAATTAGGCCTACTTGCAGTACCGAATTTTAATGTTGAACGTGCCGTGTTACCATCAATAGCAAGATGAGGTGTGACTACATGTAGAAACCCAGTGGTAAATTTTAATTAAAGCGCCAAAGAATGTCTTTCTCTCTTGTTTTCATTGGACGTATTGTGCTCAATTATTGGTAACTCGACTTGACTCGACTTTTTTGCCTAACTTCATTCGAGTCACTGCGTTACATAACTCGACCCGAGTCACTGTGTTATGTTACAATGACTCGACGCGATTTGAGTCACAAAAACTAGTGGCTAATTACAACTCTGCCCGTGCACTTTTCCCCCAACTCACCAGGCCTCCTACAAAGTCAAAGTAGAACCTGACCCATGGAAATTACTACGTGTGCCTGGACATGCCCGAAAGACCGAGGAAATCTTCGTCTAAAATCACAAAATGAACGAAAACTCTTAGGTTTGTCATTTTGTTTGCCAGGGCCCGGTACGTTTTGCTGAAGGTGGTTACAGAATCGGAAACCTATTGATCGAGCAAAATATTGGTAAGTGATTCCAACTGACTTTTTTAAAAATGGTTTTAGTCTAACATTTGCAAAGCATGCAAGTGAACATGTGACAGGTTCGATGACCTCCAGAGGGCTCCCCGACCCGATGACATGGGCTAGAACCACGGACATGTATAATAAAATCTGGACTCGCAATGCCCTTAATCAGCTTATAGAGATCATTGAATCCACTCGCGGCCATTTTACCGAGCCGAATACAAAGCTTTCCTGGCAATGCCCGCCTTTGTTCTTCCTGACGTCAATAGAAGGGAGCCAACCCACGCTTTTTTATTCGGCTCGGTAAAATGGCCGCTGGTTGGCTTCTTTTTCATACAAAGGCAATGCAAGTCTAGGTTTTTTATACACGTCCGTGGCAAGAATGCATAATGCACACGAGTCGGATACTTTTAAGATGAAGGCCACGACTCTCACCTCGGCCGTTCTTAACTTTGCAACCATTGTGTTGCAGTGCCCTCTGCCCTTCAACCAGGCATGCTGTCGACCTGGCACGTTTGGTGCATGTACAGCCAGCACGAAGCTGAGGGAGAAAGGTGGAATCCCCCTCCTTCAGATCTCGGCCCCACAGTAAAGGCTTTGCGTGGTAGCCATCTTGTGAGGCAGTTATTTTGTTTCAAAGTAAATCGTCCTTGTGCATACCCTGTGGAATGAAGCAGTGACCCGCAAGATGGCAGCCACGCAAACGTTCGCCAGGATGGAGTTTTTGCTTGTACAAAATTTACTCACACTTGTGAGTAAATCTTCATGTTTTTAACCAAAGCAATCAGTAGAATGGAAATATGGGGTTGGGTAGCACCCAGAGGGGTCAGTTTAACATACATTTTGATGGCAGGCGCAGGAAGTCTTTATTTATCTGGAAAAGGACAGACAAATATTTTAATCCCACTTGAAACTCTACCCGGCAAAAACAACTTGCCAATAATGGGGTCTCTGTGAAAACTCTGTGAACTGATTTGCCCCGAACCATTGATTAAGTAATCTATAACGTGTAATTGTTGCCGACAGCGATGTCTTCACCTTTATGATATGGGCCTCGAACTAGACCGACAAAGGGCGTTATTTTCACTACGGAGGCTCCTTTGCTGCTAACTGCGCATTGCTGGTTCACGAACGACTAGGAAACCACTCGTTACAGTCGCATCACTACCAAGAAAATGAATACCCACGACCAACACAGCTCTTTTCAACCAATGAGGGGAGCTTCTGCTGAGGCCTGAGGCGGATAGTCATAATACAGTTTTGCTTATAAATTCATACGCCACCGTATGAAAAGTACCATTTCCGGCACTCAGATGCCCTTAAGCATAGGTTCCATATTGCATCTGGCAATGTCCAAGTGTTAAGGTATCTCCTTATGCTTGATGCGTTATCATCTATTCTTGTTATCCCAAGATGGGAAAGAGGTCGTGGTTGGGACGTACGACAACATCGCCGACCTGATCAGGTGGTCTGTACCTATCAAAAAGCTGTGGTATTACAGTGGTAAGCTACAACCTCATTCACTGACATTTCTATTTGGGACAGATTGTCAGAAAGCCAAAGTCTTAGAAAAGGATTAGGTTTTATACCCTTGAAAAATACCTTGATTACCTACTTATCCATGACACACCGTAAACACCTCTTTATCAATGACCCTATATATAGAGAGATTTTGATATTGTTTTGGGGTTTTCTCGAGTGACATAGGCCTAGTTATAGGCTTTTTCAAGACTCTTGGTTCCTAGGACCAAATCTTCAGATACATAACGGGTAAATTTCTTAGACTGCAGAATGTAATTGTGCATCTTTTAGTGACAGAGAAGTGATCCATACATTTTGGAGAGAGCTACTGGTCAAGTGACTTCAAGCAATTTGAATCGGTCTCAATTGTACAGCGAAAGTGTTTGTGAGAAGTCTTAGGATACAAAAGTTACAACACTGGGTTCGAATCCTGTTCAAGTCCTCCCTAATATCTATTTACAGGTGGGGCGCCCCCTTTCGATTCGGATATTACAAAGACGGTTGAGTATCTCCAAGGGAACCCTGTGGCCTTCATCGCAGCCGTGAGTGTCCTCGCATCCGTGGGACTGATCCTCGCCGTCATGTTCCTGATCTTCAATATCTGGAAACGGCACAACAGGTCTGCTGGTTGCAAATTATGTTGATGTGAATATGCACTTAGCGAGGAAAGGCTCAAGTTTTGATTCGAACCGCTTGAGCTTGAAATGCAGAAGGAAATCTTCTACTTCGAAAATTACGAGGAAACCCCAGAACTGTTTTACCCCTCGAATTTAGACTCTAAAGATACATTTAAAATTGAAGCAAAGCGCTCTGTCGAATACCTTTGCAAAGTCTGGTAAGATGAAAATTGGTTCATCAAGACCAATGCGGTAGTTCTAGTCACAAAGTTGGATCTCTGTCCAAAATTCTGTAGTGTGTCGAACAACACTGAAAAGAATCGATACTGAAATTGAGTACCTGATTTCTTTTTTATATGCAGGCAAATCAAAATGTCCAGCCCAAAGATAAATAACATCATCTCTGTCGGAATCATGCTAGCGTACATAAGTGTGGCTCTCCTTGGCATCGATCGCCCCATGGTGGACCACGAGAACGCCCTCCTTGCGATTTGCAGGGTACGCATTGGTAAATTCCAACTTTTACATATTGGGGTGAGAAAAAGAAAAGGAACTTCATCTGGCTGGTTTGTTTGGCAGCGGCCGACTCAGTGTAAAATTCCGCCAGTGGTAGGCTACAGCAGCCTGCACCTTCCTCGGTGGACGGGACATATGGGACAGCGGACAGGTGGGACTAGGGGCAGGGGATTGGGAAGGGGAGGAATTGGAATGTGAGGATGGGTGCCTCTCTCTGTAATGAAGAGAATCATTTGAAGTTTATTAACTGGGGGCATTGCAACTTTGTCATTTAATTCCCATCCGGACTACTGCAAGTTAAGTCAGCCTTAACTCTCAAAAGAGTTGGGTTATTTTTGTCCATCCCACAGACGGTTGGGGGCGGGAATTCCGCCATCCCTGCAGAAATTGGCTGTGCCACGCTCAATATTTTGTTTAATTTAGACTAAGCATTCGTATGAAGACACTCCTCATCATTACAAATGTGAGGTTTGAAATCAATCAGACATATACAGGTACATTGCAGTTTGCTATTGCGGTCATTCCAAGTTCAAAGCTACTGCAGTATTAAAAAAAAAGTTTTTGGCAGACCTGTCTCGGATAAATGCGCACCGCACAAGAACGGGATATCCGGTCGTCACAAAATTGGTGTCAAATTGACTTCCGAGAGCTACTTTAAAACCACCCGCGGAGATACTGGGGAAAATTTGATCGGGGCGGATTAAGACTCAGATGTGGGCTGGAATCTGTGAGTCAAGAATAGTGGCTACACACCTTTAATTATGTATCTTCATCTGCCTTCTCATTCCTTTCCAGTCAAGGTCACTTTAAATTGCTTCTGTCATTAAAAATCAAGCAATCATCTGCCCCAGCTCAACCTTATATAGCACTTGACTCTACCGACTCTCGCGTGCCAAGTACACAGCTTGCTAGTGCTATGCAGTAGGGTACCAACTCATTTGACCAATCAGATGCAACATGCAAAGTGTGAGTGACGCAGTTCTTTCTATAGAGCCAAACATACAGTTGATAAATCCATAACTGACTTGTAGTTCATGTTCTGTCACCCCCCAAACCAGAGGGTGGATAGTCTGCAAAATTCATATTCTAAGCTTGTTCCCATCAGATACGCTCCTGGATCATGCCCCTGGCGTTCACTCTTGCGTTTGGAGGAATGTTCACCAAGATGTGGAGGGTGTATAGTATCGTCATCGCCAACAAGACCAAAAGAAAGGTATTTAGTTCCCCTCAAGAAATGCGACGTGTTCACACCTGAATACAGGCCGGATTTTTAATTAAACAAGAACAAACTGCCAGGGATCCCTATCTAAAATAACAATTTATGTCCATCGGCTTTCTGTTTCTCCATTTTGTAGGTGATAAAAGACTACTATCTCTTTGGCATCATCGCCGTGCTGCTGTTGGTGGATTTTGCCATTCTTATCCCCTGGCAGATCATCGATCCGATACGCATCGAGGAAAAGCGGCTCCCCGTTCCACAGGTAATGAAACGTTCCCATCTTTAAGTCAGACCGAAAACCTGTCCTTTCTCACCTTCTAAACTCTTATATATAAATAAAAATCGATAATGCACCAGTCATCACTAGCCACTGACCCCAACGCAGACTGGTGAACCTGACCGGGGGGAAATCTGATAGGCTCTTAATGAAAAGCTGACCTAGCTGACTTATTAACCAGTATCCATCCAGAGATGAAGTAGCCTGGAGTGTTTGGGCATGGTTGGAAAGCTGGATTGCAGGCTGACACTTTGGCGTATCTGCTATGCTTCTAGGCCCGATAGCTTTGGAGAGTTTCCGAGACCGGCAACAAGTTTTCAGCTTCGTGCCCTGCAAACAATTGTAGCTTACGTAAGCCCATTGCATGATTGGCTAAATGTCGACTTGGTGTCCTGCTTCTTTTTTGGGGGGGGGTGTTACACAATTCTCAGCCTGCCTTTTGTCTTATCCCCTTTTTTCTTCCTCCTGATTTTCCTCCTTATTTCTTGTTTGACCTTTGTACATTTTGGGAGATAGTCCTTCACTCATCGTTGTACGTTGCCAACCGGTATCAGACAAGGTCTGAATAGGAGCCTTCGACGATAGCTTACGCGGGGACGAGGTTGAACCCGAGTCAAATTGTGCAAGCTAATCGAACTCGCCCATGTTTGAACATGCAAAATGTATGCCATCCCGCCCGCAACCAGTAGGAATCGACTCTGTTTGTAACGTCATTTCGAGCGAAAATCTGCCAAAGGAGGTTCATTAGTTAATAAGAGTTAGCTAGCCATACTTCAGTTTTCAGCTGATCATATGTACTGACAAGGTTGAAGTGGTTTCCAAGGAAAGGATGTCGGTGATTCAGACCTGGCAAAATGTGCTTTTCTTTAGCTGTGGCAACCCTGGATGTACAAACTATAGGCCTATGTAGGAAATACTTATGCCCAAATTGAACCGACTGTAGCCAAAATGGACACGTGCATAGAAGGTATAGTACCGTCTTTCCGATTGGAAAATGACTTTATTGCAAGTTTTGAAAGGAGACTAATCTTCACACCTCGTGGACGCTTCTCTTATTGAAATGCCAGTATCTACTTCCGTTAATTTAAAAAATAAATAAACAAATAGTTAAAATCCACACTGGTTACCCCAGCGTGATGTGTAAAATATTTTTGCTCTCCACATGTAGATTACGCGCCATGTCTTCCTTAATGTAGTTTGTTTTTTGTATTTGCCACCACATAAAACATGGCTGGTAATTGGTCAAAATCAAGATGTCAAGAGGAGGTTTTCTTGCATAATTAATCAGCAAATGTATACAGGTATCATAGACGCTCTCCTGAGAGTGACCTTATGTGACAAAGACTACGTTTCAAGCGGAATCAACCCTAACTTTGCCATTGTTCATCATTTAGCTTTCTCATGCCAAATAACTCTCGTGGTTTCACGCAGAATGAAGTGGATCTCGAACGACACGAGAAACGGGTCAAACTGAACGTCATCTGCACGTCCAATAACAATACCATATGGACACTGGTGCTCATCATTTATAAAGCGTTTGTCGTCGTGTTCGGCGCTTTCCTGGCTTGGTCAACAAGGTGAGGACAGTCGAACGTTGAGGTCAAGTAGGGCGCATATTTTTATTCAAAAAGAAAATGAGGAGAGAACAGAATTCAAGAAGAAAGAAACTAAGTGAAACTCCAAAGGACAAAAAGATCATAAAATGGATGCCTGTTTATAAACTGAAAAAAAATATATATATGGGTACCGGTCCAGGCTTTATAGAGTGAAGTGATCGAGTGCTTTTTCGAGTCCAAGTTTATTAAAATATGATTTTGTGCCGTTGGAATCAATCTTCGGAAATCTAAACGAAACCCCAGTGATCAGGAATGTCGTTTTTATGAGACGACAGGCTGGAAATGATCAGGAATCATGGAGAGAAGTGTTCAGACTTGAATCCAGGTTCATCGAGTCGTCAAATTCGACACAGGTTCTTAGTCCAGCATAAATCCGCAGAAAATAGGTAATTAATTGTTGGTAAATGCGCATTATGGATGTCCAGACACTTGTATTCAACACACCTGGTAGGTGTGGCGCAGTCTTTACAAACGGATCTTTCAGTCTGTTTAGAAATGAACATTAGTTTAATCTCACAAAATGTACATTTGCGGTTGCACTAGCCTAACATCGATCTTGCTGATCTCTCCTTTTCAAAATCTTATCAAGAAACATCAAAGTGTCTGGCTTGAACGACAGCCATTACGTGGGCTTGTCCATCTACAACACCGTCATCTGCTGTGTGGTAGCTGTGCCTCTCTCCTTGCTAAATGTCTCCTCCACCACTGTGACCTTTGCCCTCGTGTCTGGATTTCTGCTGCTCTGCATTACGGTGTCGCTCTGCATGCTGTTTATTCCGAAGGTACATGTAGGTCAAAGGTTTGACATGAAAGGCATTTGTGTTTTCGTGATTTGAATGTGAAGAGTGGGTATCAAGTTTCTTGAATTAAAGGAACTAAAAGGAGCAAAATTTTGAAACTTATCAGAAAGTCGCCATTGCATGCATTCAGGTTTTGTTTTGTCCCCCTATTTGTGGGCGAAAAGTTCTACATGTCTTTCTTGATTGGATAAAAAATTTCCTTTTGCGTTCTCCGTGAAAATGTAACGTATTGTTATGCACATGCGCACTTGTGAGATCGCCCTGGTTCATTCCTGGACTTAGGTTTCGAAAGCGAACACAAACGCCATTTTGTGACACCAAATCAAATATTTGCGCTGCGAATTTGCGACAGTTGAACACAGCGAAGTTTCCTCACAAATCTTTCGTGACGGCAAATTCATTTTAGTGGCATTTTGAAGCGGTATAGAGGCGGTCTTTGAGCGGAGGCTGGACCATACTTCAGGCAAACGAATAGGTGAAGCAAATTTGCCGCAGCGAAATAATTTGCCACGAAATTTGCGCGAGAGGAAAAGGATTGAATTTTTTTCGTGAATTTGCAGTACTTAAATGTCACCTGTCACCACAGATTTTGCATTTAATCTTATTTCAACCAAGTTTGAACCGACCTTGACTTGGTCAAAGCCTGTCTGACCGATTTAAGTGGGAACGCAACGCTCAACAGTTTAGGTAAACAGTGAAATGGTAAAATTGTATTTCAGATGTGGAGCATATACATGGTTTTTAGTGTATAACTTTTCTCAATTTACCATGTTATTGTAAAAGTGTTCACAAGTGCTATGTGTCTCCGACAACTTCCAAATGCTGTACTGCTGAACCTTTTAGTTGCTTCTCTAGTAACAGACTTTGAAATTTTCCTGACTTTTAGATTGTTGCGGTCTACCGCAAGAACACCGTTGCAGACGAGTCTTTCCTGGGAACGAGGTTCGGAACGACTGTAGGGGCGCCCAGAGTGACTACGGGCGCGCTTGGCAACGACCTGCCGACAACCAGCGCAGTGGTGGAGTCCCGCACGACTGGGGCATTGCTGGATGCTGCACCTAACTCCGTGAAATCTTGAGGCGGTTGACTGGCCTGCATTTTGGCCACATCAACCACCATACTGGTACAGCTGTTGCCTGGGGTTGCCATGTGGCCTACACTGCTATTTCAGTGACGGAGCTCTTGGTACATCGCTATTGAATATGCACGGTTTGTATATAGATCACGTTACTGCTCACTTAGACTCACCACCCTACAAATAAAACTATACTGGAGTCGCACTCGGGACGTTTTTTTCCGTTTCTATTTTGGTCATTGGTTATTTCATTTATTTATACATTTGTTTGCTACTATCGTAGTGCTTGTATTACGTCTTTCTTTTGACTATAAACGAGAACCAAAGATTGAAATTTTCTCATCGCTGTTTCAAGATGGCGTATAGCAGTTTTTCTGTTGTCCCCAAATAATTGGGTTATATAAGTTATCCATATTTGTTGTTACACGCACTAACCCGAAGCAGGCATTCTCTTCCAGGGAGTAAAAACCAGGGGCAGTGATTTAGGCCCAATGCCGAATATGGAGTGAAAAAACCCACATTTTATCAGTGTGGTCTACTACGACATGTTTCGTCTTCTGCCTGGCCGATTTCCTCTGTAGGATGACGCAATTTAGTTTTCTTTTCGTCGCTTTGAGAAACACAAATGATGTTCCTTTTGGTGGTTATGAAAGTAGGCTCTTGTTTACAGCAAGCTGCAGGTCCACGTTTTGCCTGACTTTGGGCCCTGAGCAGGACCAAAGAAGGGGCGCAATTTTCCAAGCAACGGAGGCACCTTTGGTCGGAGCTTCACTTTGATAGTCCACGAACGACTGTGACACCCGCTGCAGTTGCATTCGCTACCGACAATATGAACACTCTCCACTAACATGGCTCTTTTCAACCGATGAGGGCGTGTTTTTGCTCAAGGCGCTTGCGATGCCTACAGTCGCCGCATTTACTCCACGATGTTGAAACCATCATGTCAGCAGCAGTTCATCTTTGTCATTTGTGTATTTTACTCCTCTATAAGCCAACACAGTTGTTCTAAACCTTCAGTTGGGAGCCTATGAACATACCTGATGACGTTGCAGCCCAGAGAAGATTGTATACTCTTGACAAAAACCCCTATTCTAAGATTTTGATTTCAGATAAAAAAGTTGCAGAGTCATGTTTTTAATAAGAGAATAAATATGTTACTGGCCGGCCTTAAACGCACGTTGTTGTTTTTTTTATTTGTTATTTTTTTCTGAAAATAAATCTGGTAAACATAAAAGACATACAAGAACGCTGATGATGCCCTTGCCTGTGGGTCGGGCATTACTCGTGTCAATGCTCTGGAGCAGGTCTTCAACGTTTAAGACCTGCTCAGGAGCATGGACGCGACTAACGCCCGACCCGCAGGCGAGGACATCATCAGCGTTCTTTTTATGTCTTTTATGTTTACCAGATTTATTTTCATCACGACATTGCGACACAAGTGATTTTGCTGTTTCCATAAATTACGTTTCAGTGGATTCCTGTGGAAAATTAGACATACACGTATGTACATGTGAAAGTTTGAAGCTGCATAGTCTCGATACCTTCTCCCTCCTGCGTCTTTGTTTTTTAATCACGCACCTGCCTATGGATGCACATGCTCTGTCCCATGGGGTAATTGTTCTTGAGAGGAGACTAGTATTAATGCCTTGTGGAAGTTTCCCGAAATTTATTTGGGACTGTACTTCCCCTTGAAAAAACTCCTCCAGAGCTAAGGTGTTAGCCTTTATTCAAGTCGGATTTTCGCAGCATGTCGTGTTAAAAAAGTCGCCTCTTTCCTTTAAGACAGCACAATGACGCTTCTGACCTGCTACACTCAGTACGTACATATATAATAGGTCGTCACATTTCATGGTTTTTGCCACTAAAACTAGTTGGGCACCGAGCTAGAACAAGAGAGGGCGCGATTTTCCTAGCAACGGAGGCTCCGTTGGCATAGGAACGTCTTTTCGCTGGTTCAGTGAGATGCATGCATTGCGTGCAGATCGCTACCAACTAAACAAACACTTCGACCAGCATGCCATCTCGTTTCAACCGATGAGGAGGTTTTCTGCTCAAAGCAAACATGATGGTGTCAATAATAATAATATAATAACAATCCTGACGCATCAAATGTAATGTACGTGAGAAATGACAGATTATTGAAAGTACTACCAGCGGTCTCCATGATGTATGCAACCCCTCGGACCTCTTTGAAGGCAAGGGGGTATCCAATGTCAACTCCCCTATGTGTGTTCTCTCACAAAACCTCCCTCTCAGGGAGAGTGAGTCCCTTTATTAAAAATTACAAGAGAGAAAACCACTCTAAAAGAGTGATATCTCCACTCCTTCAGGAGCCATACAAACGACATCTGCAAAAAGAGCTGTGGTGTTTGGCTCCTCTTTGAAGTGGTTTTCACTCGTTTGTGTTTTTTTTTACTTTTTGGAGTGGTTTGAAAGGGACTCATTCCTTTAGAGATTAAATTTTCAAAAAGTGAGTTTTTAACTCTTCCACATTTAGAACATTCGAACTAGCTGACTGATCACAGTATTAGAGACAAGCCTCTAAAGGCGTCGACGATAAAGCATGTTGCTCAAGTAGTTAGGGAGTAGCCACTCACTTCTGGACATTTTAGTGTGCATTGTTATTAAAATATATAGGGTCAAAGTGTCGATTTCTTAGGCTAAACCTACCCTTCGCCAATGCAGCGCAAGTGTGAAAAAAAATGAATGAAATACCTCTGACGTCAGAAAATTCAGGGCAAATGCAACTTTTCCACGAGGAGCACACTTCACCCGCCGTATTTTAATTGCTTTGCCATTGCTCTGTTGTTTCTTTACTCTCTATTGTTTTATCCGACTGGAGCATATACCCTAGTCGGTTGAAAAGAACTATAATGGTCAGGAGTGTTCATTTTGCTGGTAGCGATGCTACTGTAACGTGAGCATTTCCAAGTCGTTCGTAAACCAGCAAAGTGTAGTTCTGGCCAAAGGAACCGCCATTGCTAAGGAAATTACGCCCTCTCTTGGTCCAGCTCAAGGCTCGTAGCACAAAATCTCACCTTTGGAAAAGTATGCCAACGCTAACTGACAATCGAACGTGTTGTTGCTATGCGACCTGCTCAACTATAATGTCAGTATTCATTCCGGTAGCCCAAACCTGTCAGTGCAATTTCTTTTATATTCTGCTGTGTAGAAAGCACAGCTGCCCGCGGATCCAATTTCGTGTCATCGGTTTGCTTGTTTAGTGCTTTCGGAAGATTTTGACGGCGAGAAAGCTTTTGAAACACAGCAAAGGGCAAGGCAAATTTTGCAGGGCTACGTGACTCGGCTGCGCCAGAATTTTTAACAGTGGGCAAGCGTGAGCCGTCGTGCCCTGTCTCCGGATCCCGATAGGTAGTGATGGGGCAGAGACTTTTTGTCCGCGGCACGCGTCGCTGAAATAACAGGCGGAAGGCTGGATAACGAGCGGGAGGTAGAATAATGTCTCATTGAACGCGGCTACAGGATGCCATCGTTGGTACTTGACATCTGGCCCAGCAATTAGATTACTTTGAGTTTGGGCATAGCTGTTTTTTATGAGGTGGTTTTGTTTAATTATTATTTGAGACACACGACTTCTCCTTTGGTTGCTGTACATTTTGGGAAAGGCTGTACGGGGTACTTCTTTTGGTGTAGTAAAAATACAGAAATATAAAATGATCCTGAATATGTTCCAGTGTTGAAGTACTCGTACTTGGTACTCGTACTCGAGTACTACTCGAGTACCATTTTCAGAGTACTCGTACTTGTACTCGGACGTCCAAGTACTCGTTCTCGAACTACAGTTCTTTTACTCGGGCTACAAAATACTCGGAACTCGACATCCAAAACTTGTACTCGATCATCAAAGTACTCGTACTCGATTAGCAGTACTCGATAAGAAAAGCCTTTAAGTTAACTTACATATTATGTTCTTCAGCAGAGTCGATTGAAGATACGGTGTACGTGTCCAGCTTGAGGCCTGCTGGTTACCAGCCCCTCAGTAATTGCGGGGATACTCTCAGAATACCCCATTTTCAGGATGTATTGGATTAAACTCTGTCTCATCTGTGTAATATGTGTCTTAAAGGTAAAGTCCATGATTTAGAATTATCCAAAAAGTACGGTTGCCCTGTTCAATGACTGTTGAAAAGCATACTTGGTTTAAAAACAGTTATGGGACACTCCCTGTGAAGTTGTTCTTTCTGGCAAGTTGCCATTATGCAGAAAACGAAGAAGGAAGGCCGTTGCCCACAATGTGTCTAAAGACTATATTAGATTCAATTACAATAAGGCAAGCGTTTTACGATACACGCACGCAAAGTTTTTTTTTAATTCATTGGTTCAGTGCGTGACATTTTCTCAGTGCGTTCCACTGAACGTGAAATTGTGCCACAGACGCTAAATGCAAGCGCCAGCCCCCCAAAATGTTTCAGAAACTTTGGATCAGAAATTGAAATCCTAGAACATTGTTTTTCTCGGAGTATACGGTATTCAATGAGCGGAATGTACGTCAGGTTTGTTCTTAGGCACCGTTAATTAATGAGAGTTTTAGTATTTTTGTTGCTAGAAAGGAGCATGGTGCATAGAATGATAGTTGATTGACTGCACAGCCCTAAGCATTGCAATGGTTGAGCAGTGCACTCGAGTATGTTTCAGTTTATGTGCAACTTATTACAAATTAATTGAAAACAATTATGTTGGACGACCCCAAGGAGAGCCCCATTTTCAACCTGTAATTAGGCCTTGGCTTCTGAAGTTAGCACTCTATTGTTTAATCAACTGTGCAGGGTCTCTTGCATCTAATTCATCAAAAATGTAATAAACTCCGTGATTAAAAACTAAGCTTCACGTTTGTGAAAGTGCTTTTCTGAATCTGTTTTCCTAGCTGTCCGGAGAAGTATTTCCTTTCAATTGGGACATTTTTCTCCTGACGGCCATACATTTCTGATTTAAATGATGTTTAGATGGTTCACAGAATATTAAATTTAAAAACAATGGCCCAAATCGGCCAATCTGCGCGACCGTCTGATCTATCTGCGCTTTTGGTCGATTCAGCACGGAAACTCCACTTCCTTTTTTTTAAAACAGTATTTTACAGTTATGAATCAAAAATAAAAACGGATGATTGGCTCGCAGTCATGGCGGAAATATTGACAAATCATGCCCCAAGACCGACCAATACACGCAGCGATGGAGCCTTCGCGCACATCGACCGATTGCTTCATATTGCAGGTGCATCAACGAGTCTATTATATCATAGTGAAATGCAATAAAAATAGTTGTATTCTATTCTATTGAACTCTACTCCGTTTATATACAGACACAGCAGCCACACCTCACAAATTACAATAATATGGAACATGTACGTTAATTGTTGCAGTACTATAAATAGTGCTCTGTTAATTAAATGTAACCATGAATATTAATATCAATCTTCTTTCCGCCAATGAACATCATCTAGTGTGCTCGCCGTGTGAGTATGATAGCAGCCCTGTTCATTTCCTCAACCAAAGACAGTAGATGCATTAAAGTATGGAACATACTGTAGACTTGTGTTTCTGTAAGTGCAATTTTTAAAGAATATTATTTACGTTAAACATGATTTCTCTCATTTCCTATTACCCCCTCATTCATTCAAAAATTTTAAGCCTATTTAGTGTTGGAGAGCTTGGATTCAGAAAAGAGAGAAATAATTGTTTAAAGGTACTTTTCACACCTTCAAAAATTACACCTTCCTTTCGGGGTAGAAGACCTCATGATCAGTCTTCTTAAACAATTTCTAGTTAAGTCACATATTTACGGGTGAATCAAATCATTTTAGACCTTTTCAAAGTGTTTTTATACATGCTATATTGACAAAGTACACATGGGTGCTATTTTGTGAAACCAAAATTGTAAACATGGTTTTCACGAAGTTGCACGCAAGTGCAGTTGAGTGCTGCTTCGTAGTGTTGGTGGCGACATATTTCATTTTGTCCAGATTCGCCGATGTGGGGGTTTATGACTTACTTTGTGTATAACTACACGAACTTTTTTCAATTTTCGATATCACTGCTTTGAGAAAAAAAAGCTGTTAACTTTTAACCCAGCTCAATGCTTCACGAACGTTTTCGTTGCGCCCGTTAACGATTGCTGTATTTGAACGAATTGTATTTTCAAAGGATCGGCCTTTGCCCCCCAAAAAACAAAACAAAACAAAACCAAAGAAAAAAAAAACCAAAAAACAAAAACAAACAAACATCTTTCAAATCCTATACGCTGCCTTAAATGGAATTTACAAAAGTGGAAAGCCGTGCATCGTGGATATGAGAAATGCACGGGAAAGGCGGCTCGCTACCGTTGCTAAAAGGTATACTTTTTTGTCCTCTCATTTCTCACATTAAAGCCGCCGCCAGCTATTTCAAACTTAAATTGGCCATCGACACAAAACCGAAAGATAATTTCACACTAAAACCGATTAATGCGACTGCACAATACCCACTGGAAAAAACCTTTCCTTTTTATTCACCACTGAAGAAATGTGCATTAAAGGGAGTCGAGATCTGTGTAGCTAACTGAGGGCGACCTTGGCGATCAAAGAAAGAACACTGTATCAAGATGCACTGATAATCCAAGCCGTACTTGATTTGATTTACTGAATTCGTTCTCTAACAGAACCGGCATTTGTTGGAGGATAACATCCAACAAACCCCATTTCCAGTAAGCCCATCATTAACAACGATATTACAAACCATCATTATTGATACCTTGAAAGGGTAACACGCATTAATACTAGTCTAAAGGAAGCGCTGGTATCCGTTGGGATACATTAAGACTTCTTAAACTAAGATTTTTAATTAATCAACCAAAAGACATAAGATGATTTGTGACTTTGTTTTTATCTAACCATTTATGATGCAAAAAACATATCAACGTTCGTTTTCTTCAAGTTCGCTTGAAAACGATCGTTACCAATGCTCATGCTGGACTGTCTATCACTTTCTGTCTTTGCGCATGCGCACGTTGATGTGCCGTTTTGGTTAAGAACAATGGGAACGTTTGCATCCAATCAGAATCGCAGAGCCACAAAATTTAATTCTGTTTTGTGTAAGAGTAAAACTTGCAGTCGGAATAAAAAGCTTTGACCAATGTAGACCCATATCTTGTTCTGCCTATACACAGTCACAATACGTTGACAATCCTGCTCGTGAAAATGAAACCGTCCAACGACCCCCTCCAACAAAATGGACGAGTCACCCCTTTAATAAAAGTATTTTGAAAAGCATAGGTTGAGACATTCACGCCTTCAAAATTCAAACAGAAAGACGATGCCGGTGTCTGTTTTTTTAAGGAGCTTTGTGGTTTTAGTGGCCGTCCACGGATGCAGTGGATCTACCCAGGCTGCCCACCAGGCGCCCTTGCACATCGGCGGTCTCTTCCCGCTGTCAGAGAAGGACGGCTGGAGCCGATTTTTCGGCCACAGCGCCCTGGTCGGTGCCAAGCGAGCGATTGAGGATATCAACAAGAGGAATGATGTGTTGCCGAACTACACCTTGGTCCTGCATGTTGCCGACACAGAGGTACTTTCTACAGTGCTGTTTAAAATGCATGGTTTCCATTACATTGTTTAAATTAAAATAGCATGGAAGAAAACAAATCGCAGCCCTCCACTCTATGGAAATCTGTGTTTAGCAAACACACGCAATCGTGATATCACTTTGTAAATTCGTTTTAAAGACGAACATTAAAACATTATGTGTACAAATTATGACCGGCAATTCTCGGCTGCTAGACACTATCCATCAATGCTCTTAATATAGGTTCTCCGGGCTATTTTAATCCAATTTGATTTCAGTTCACAGAGGTGTTTTGTTGTTGTTTTTTTCGATTTCGTCCTGTGAAATCGATTCATGGCGCTAGTGGGGGTAGCGTTTAATTTCGTCAGTTGTCAGACGTTTTCAGGAGGATTCTATTTCGGCTTGCTCGCGCCTAGCGGCGTTATTCAGAAAGCAAAATTTGTCTTGCGTCGAACATTTTGATCATGCTCGCAACGTTTCGTCAAAACCTGTCTTCCTCGATTTCTGTGTTGGTTGAGCCTCGCTTCTTAACTTGTGAACATATTATGCGTACAGTTGTGCTTGAGTAAAAGATGACTAGTGTTCCTAACAGAGTGTTAAAGAGATTGCAGTCAGACGAATTCGATTTTTGAATGCTGCTACTCTGCGACGCCTTTGAAGAACTTGAACTGTAATGACTAATATTCTCGACGTGGTCTTGAAATGTACTAACCATCTTTTTCAAATTTATGGTTAAACACGAAATCGGTTTTGGAAATGGCGGGCTTTTTTTTCCTTGGACTAAATTGAAAAAGTCATGAGGTGAATTAGAATTAGGAACGTTTTGAAATATCCGGGGAAAACCAACGGTTTGGAATTGAAAGAGTTGAAAAAATTGATACCAAGAGAGCATTTTGAACAGTCATTTTGGGCCAAACACAGCTTTTACAGTACTGGGAGTTATCATACGTAGGGCTAAATAACATTTGTTGGAAATCGATTCGAAGGCTTAAATCCCGCTGTCCTAAATCATTATGCGAGTAGTAAATAAACATTTTACTTAGCAATTAAGTAAATAAATGATAATTAGTAAATAAAGTCAAACATTAATACGTTTCCAGCATCCCAACAGAAAGTGTTTAGGAATATTGCACATTCCTGAATGTATATATAGGTGTATTTAGCTGGCTCTCAAAGTTAAACAAATATCTGAAAATTCGCACAAAAACAGAACACCGATAAACTACATACATGTATTTTTCCCTAGGCGTAAGCTGAAAAAGGAACTGAACGGTAGTCTGCCCGGCAGAAGGGCGTGAGCGCTTTGGCCCTTTTGCCGGGAAGCATCCAAAAAACTTTTCGCGGTAAAAGGAAGAAAGTATGCAACTGTATTGCATTTTAATGAACTATGAAGATTTCTTGGCAAAAAGTAAAAAAAAAAATGCCCAAGTCCTTTAATAAGTTGTTCAAAGGTAGCTTTTTGTACTGCCCAGGTTGATTTCCTAGTAAATTAAATCCACTTTTACTAAATAAAGAGAGTCACTGTATTTCTTACGCCCTTTTGCCGGGTATATTTTGTCTGCTGTGATCATGCTTCCCAGCAAAAGGGCCTAAATGCGCTTATGCCCTTCTGCCAGGCACCCGACGACCACGTTTCAACAATTCCACCATATGAGCCCAACATATTCATACTCCAAAAATATAATATTGCTTGGAATTATAATGTGTTTTCACCGGCCGGGCTTTTTACAGTGTCGGGCTGCTAGTATTCTGGCACAAATATAGTGGAATTTAAAACGCACTTTTTTACTTATTTCTAAATTTATTTCCATTGTAATTGGTAAGGCCTTTTTCTGTTGGGCTGCTAGAACTCCGAGTGTTAAAACCTATGACGTGTTTGCTGAGATCTTTTCGTCCTCTGTTTTTTAAATTTATTTATTTTTTATTAGGCGTATTTATAACAAACCAGCCACACAAGAAGAAAGCATGATATAAAATGCTACTGTTTAAAATCCGGATTTTTGATGCAGCCATCAAGCAAACAATGCTCGGAACTGTTGCCTTAAATCTTTCACTTTGTTGTATTTGTTGGCAAAGATTTAGCACGATCGATTAAATATCGTGAAAATGTTTTGTATCTTTCGTAAGTCAGGATCATTTGTGCAAGTCAATGGAAAATCAAAGATTTTTGACAGCGTGCTGTGGAAATGCTCTCATATTGGCCCCAAGATGTGTTAAAACATGTTTAAAAACATATTAATGCTTAGAATTAATGAAATGTTTGATGGACATGATTTCAATTGGAAACAAAATGCCCCCGACTACTCTTACGGTTTGGACGTAGAAAGAAATTAGATGTCGCCATTGGAACTCAGGAAAAAGTTGCAGATGTGTTTTATAGATAATTTTGAGAAATGTAAGACAGAAATTCAGTCCAATTGGCGTTTAATTAGTTTTACAAACTTCTTTTTATGTTTATTGTAACATTGGTTGTGTTTGAAAATATATATTAATACAAATAAATAAATAAATAAATAATATAAAGAAGAAAAACACACGAAACACAGCAAAGATGATGTGATCAGCCGATGAACAACACTTACCTCACAGATCGCTTTTTGCAAAGCAGATGCGTTGCAGCATTGAACGCAAAATGCGAAATTCTTGACCTCAGCAAGTGCTCTGCAAGTTCCCCGATGAAAATCGAATTTGTTGGGAGGTGTTCAAAGAATTCAAAGAATGCCATTCTCACTGGGACAATGGAAAGAGATTTAAGGGTGTAGATCTTAGGGAAATTGCATGGACAACCTTTCTAATTTGAATTGGCGATCTTCAAAATGAAAGAAAAAACTGCGTGTGCTGGGTGGACACTCCGTCGACACTAGAATGACGAATTTGGAGCGTGATCTTCTCGGAGCTGTTGATGAAGAGAGAGTTGCGAATCGAGTGTCTCAAGTGTTGAAAAACAAAAATGATGAATTATGATTCTATGTGCATGGACAATTAGGACACCGTAGCTGCCAGCTTTACTGCACACAAAATGCCATTTCAGTTCCAAAGTCTGAAGATGGTGCTAAGCATGAAAGCTAATAGACTTAGCATTTTACTTATTAACAACAAAAAATCTAACGTGAAAATATGAATCTTTCTCCCCAGTTTGTATCATCGATACAGTTTTAGACAATGTCTTCCACAAATGACACGAAATGGTAGTCGGCTCTTGTTCGTGAAAAAAAAGAAAGGGCGGGAAAATGTGACCCAGTGCATCGAAGTCAGGAATAAGTCTCAAATTGACTTTTTGAGATTTTGTACATGGTTAGAAAAAGAATTGCATAAGTTGTCAAATTACAAGGAATTTAGCTGTATCAGTTTGTAACCTTTAAAAAGCCAAATACAATCAATTGCAAAGTATTGCATCCCTTGCTTCCAGGGAGATTTTGTACATGGTTAGAAAAAGAATTTCATAAGTTGTCAAATTACAAGGAATTTAGCTGTAACAGTTTGTAACCTTTAAAAAAGCCAAATACAATCACTTGCAGAGTATAGCATCCCTTGCTTCCAGGGAATCGAAGAGTTCCTTATTCATTTACGTTCTTATTTATCATCAGTGGGCAAATTCAGCTGACCAGTACTTCTGGTCGAAACTGGAAGTTTGGTTTTTATTTTAAACTTGTTAAAGATGGCTTTCAGTGGTGTAAGTCCCTAAATGATGCTATTGTCGCAGCCTCCATGCAGTAGTCGGTTAAAAAATGTAGGAAATGGTTTTACTGTAAAGTGTCGTGAAATTTTCTATAATAGCTTGAAAAAGAGTCGATGTGATGAGTTTTATGCAGATGATGCGTCTGTGGTCTCAAGCTGATGATTTCATCTGATGAAATTGAAAATAATTGTTGGAAAATACAAGTGAGAAATAAGTCTTGAAATTTTATCCATAAAAATGATAGAAGAAATGAAGGTTTTAAGTTTACTTGCGGTGACGTCATGATGATGTCATCGATATCAAACAATAAAGCTGGATAAACATTGATATTTTAACCCTTTATTTTCAGCACACTCAAAACGTCTTATCACATTGTTTGATAATACATTTAATCTCCATTGCGCATTATTTTCTTGTTTGATAACAATAGGCCTACTTTTCCAATTGAATGAAACTATAGTTTAAGAATTTTCCATCCAATCATCTAGCGTTCATACATGGCATGCACGCTTCCCTCTAGATCTGTTTACTTTAAAAACTACGGAGCTAGAAGTTGATACGGAGCTTGGCATTATACAACAGACTTCGCATCATTTAATCTCTGCTAACGATGTTAACCATAGAATTTAAATGAACGTGCTTTTTTTTTTTTTTTTTAACTACATTAAACCGCTAACGCTACATCGTTATTGTTGTGGTTTGTCGTTTGCCTTTTAATTCGATAACGCCCTTATCTTGCAGGAATATACTTGTTTTTTCCTGCTCTGGTTTCTGGAGTCTCTCTAACTCTCTCGACAGGGAAGCATGCCAGTGGCCTTGAATAAGTTCTACGAGTTCACCTACAAGCCGCCGGTCAAAGTGGCCATTTTCGGCCCGATGCTGTCTTCACTGACCGAAGTGGTCGCCGAGGTGATCGGCAAATGGAACATCGTGGAGGTGAAGGCCTGATAGGTTGAACGTAATTATTTTGTTAAAATATTGCTCGATGTAAACGTGGCAATGTCAATATAAAAGACCACAGATACTCTTCAAAAAGCGCAATGCCGTTCAACATTCAAAATCTAATATTCACAACTGTAGTGTTTAAATGAGTGAATAGATATACAAAAACTAAAGTAATTGTTGGTGTGGTTCGAGAAATCTTAATTTTGCAATTACTCATATTTAAATGGACACGTGCACAGATTCTGACAGGGAGTCTAAAAAGTATCCCCAATGTTGACCTTTGCAGTGGTGTTACAATGGGGAATCTGAAGGACGGTTGATATTACAAGAGAATGTAAATTCAGAAGCGATATATTGCATCACGAAAGATTTGCAGCGAAAATTTGATGGAGTTGAAATGTGTACAACTTTGCGATTTCATGGCATGAATGTTTGACCTGACGTCACGAATTCGCGTTTGTATTCGCTTTCCATGAAGTGTGAAGCGGCTCTCGGGTACCAAGCCTTGAAGAAAGGCTATAATTCAATAGCATTTCTTTTCAAACTCCCCCCCTTTTTAAATATGCATTCTTTAAAATCTGATTCTTCTTTCAATGGTGAACTTTCTACCAATTCATTGATCGATCTTTGGGACTCTTTTCCAGGGAATTAAAATATGATATTTCAACAGTGGAAACTACCAAGAGGCGCGTGAAAAGTTGTCTCCCCTCAAGATTGGCAATACACCCACTTTTCCATAGAAAAGTACTCACAGAGTTTGTTTGTAAATATTGTATAAAAACGTAAAAATCGCCACCTAGAAACATACATTTGGGGTGGTGACACTTACAGCCCCACTTGGGAACTGCAGGAGCACTGACCTCCTTCGACCCCCCTCCCCTGTAGTGACGTCACTGGTCATGGGTTGGAATTTTAACCCAAGTCAGCTCCGCCGCGCACCCTCTCCCCATTTTTTTGTGTGCACTCGTGACTTCTGATTCTCACAGATGTCCCCGGCGGCATCGTCTCCCGTGCTGAGTGAGAGAGAGAGGTATCCCCACATCTACCGCATGATCACCTCAGCGGCCGGCTTCTCCTCGGCCGAGTTCCGCATGTGCCGGCTCTTCGGGTGGGACAAGATCGCGACCCTGCACGAGACAACGGAGCCGCATGTTGGGGTGAGTCACTTAGGTTTTAAGGTTGTCAACGTAATATTTTCTAGGCAATTGGGCTGAGCTCAATCATCTTTTTGAAATTTGTTGTTGAAGTTTACCATTTATATCGCATAAGACGTTGTTTTAAAAAGATTCTATCCATAATTATCTATGAGCCTCTTAAGCTGTAATGAACAGAGGATCTTTGCTACAAGCTTAGTTGATTTCACGAAACGTGGCATATCTTTGAGCTATACATACGTGTTGCTCTGCAAATCTGTGCTGTAGCAGCGCGACATACTTAATATGTTCGATAGTACGAAATGTTGCAAAGCTGCGCAACGCGTACGTTTAAGTAATATTAAAATTCTACGACGGCTGTTACATTTCTTTATCGCAACAGTCATCAAACAGTCGTTGGATCACACCAGCCAGCCATTTTGAAAAGTGTTCGTCTTTTCTTCGTCGGAACCAGGCAGAATAAAACGCCAGTTCTCTCACAGGCAAAGAAGCATTCCATTACCTTCTAAAACCATGTCGTACGTTTCTTGTATAGGCTTAAACCTCATTAAACACCAACTCCAACGATGCTAACTTTTCTCATATTGAATCCTATTCAGAAGAGCCAAGTCTAATGAAAGTCAATATCTCCATTGCAATACACGTTTTTAAGTTAACAAAACATAGTTTTTGTGTCCATTTTTCCTACATGTCAAGTCCGGTGTTGTCAAAATGGACGTGTCGTCACAATTCATTTGAATCTAATGAATATGGAGTTCTGTGATGCATTACCGTTGGGAGGAAATACCAACTTTTGCGCCAAGCATTGCGTATCCCTCAAAATATCTCCCGGAGCGATTATGGCGGAAGAACGTAAGGCACATATGTTATATTAATGGAGTCGATATTGTGTCCGTGAAAGTAAACGCATGAACGCATCGTGTACGCAACCCACCAAAAAACGTGCATATGGCCTTATGTGGCGGACTTACGCAGTGCGTAACTTTCTTGGAATCGTTCTTAACTTGTTGCGCTAGTAACCAGTGAAATAAGACGTGAGTGGAGTGACGCTATTGCGGTATGTTTCAGGAAATCGGCTGCTGCGGGTCCTCCTTTTCCCGAGCCAAGCTCGGTCAAGCAAAACGCAATACAAACGAACTGGCCAGTCAGCAGGTCTGACTTATCCAGCTAAACTTTCAAAAAGTACCAATCCCAACAAAGAACAGTCTGTATCAGTACAGAAGTATCTACACCACAAGGTTTTTTGGTGAATAGGCCTACTGGGACCTCGCGAATCAATTTAAAAACCATATTAGAGTTTTTCTTCTTTTGCATCTACGGTATTACCATCAGCACAACTGCCAGATATAATGCTCTTGCTTTACCAAGAGAAATGTTCATAACAGCAGTGATGTTTGAAGGATCATTTGAGGTTTTGCGTGTATAATATTTCGATATTTTGAAAGTGGCCTATTTTGAGTTGTTTGTATGATAATTGTATAGATGTGTTTTGTATTACACATTCAGATAGTGAAATTTTCCCAGAAGACATTTACGTTTGATTGATCGATCGATCGATTGATTCTTATCAACGTAGGCGTCGCCACTGAGTTTTTCCTGGGGGGGGATTGGCGTATCAAGGTTTGGGGTCTTGGTTTCAAAGATTTCTGATGCAAAGGTTTTTTCAAGTTCCAGCTTTTTTTAAGTATTTGCTTTTTCAATACCTAACATCCGTACATAATAAGGGCGACTCGTCTCCTGGATATTGATTTGCATCCTGCCCCCCCACAACACATAAGAGGGTGAAGGACGTTTATAAAGGGTGGGTGAAGCCAAGGCTGTTATCAGCAGCAAACAGATAAGCAATTAATGATGGGAAGAATTGGTCAATTCCCAGGTAATTCCAAGATAATTGGTTAAATTTTGTCGCCTTTCATCTCCTTTTACCATTAATAGTGGAGATAATTGGTGAATTCCAATTTAATAATAAGTAAATTGGATTTTGTTCCCTCTCATCTCTTACATAATTTTTTCCAATTGTTCTTCATCCTTATCATTTTCTATCTTTCTTTTCCTGCCGGCAATCGCCCCTGTTGCCTCCCTCGAGACTCCCCTGCGTACCTAATTGGGTTCTCTTGTGATCATACTACCGTTGTTTGTTCCGTTAATTCCCAGGCAATAAACGAACTCCAGCGGTTGGCTTCTGAGAGCAACTTGTCTATCATTGCAGCTGAGAGCTTCTACAAGGACCCGTTCGAGGCTATGGAACGACTCAAGGTACGTAATCCGCGAGTCGGACGTGCTAGCTCTGATCGTCTTCGCGGACAGACCAATATTAGATGGGTGACCGCGGACGACTTTCATATCCTCCCGTGTATTGGCGTATGGGGATGTTACATTGTAGTCTATTCGGGGTTTATTTTATCATTTACATAGAAGCCAATCACGGCCTAATTTTGTGGGAATATATAATAACTGAAATATATAAAAGACACGAATTAGATGTGAATATAATTGCATGTGGTACATTTTTTTTTAGATGTGAATATAATTGCATGTGGTCCATAAAGTCTCTATTACAAGTATAATAAGATTATACCAAATACATGGGAAATCTATCAGTTTTTACAATGTTACATTGTAGCCAACTAACAAACAGGTAGCGGGGGATGTAAAGTAGAGGTAAGATGTTAAAGGCTGGCTGTTGGATGGAGGCTGGATACCAGATGGGGTAGGGAAGGGAGATGAAGGGTGTGGATACCATAAGAGGCCAGGCAAACATGTAACTATGACATAAAAACATAGTAGTCGATCAAACTATCAATTTGTAAACACTGAACTATTTCAGACGAGAAACAATAGGCTGGCATCCCTTCATGTGCTAATAATAAAACAAAAGGTCCAAAATATCTCTCAAAAAATGAAAGACAAGATGGGGTATCAATTTCAGAGAATGCGGAGGGATGTGGGGAGAGATAATACGTGTAGAAGGGGGGTTGTGGATTGCACAATTGCAATAAATGAGGACCTTTTAAAGACAATCTGAAATATTGTTAAAAGCAGCAATGGTCAACCACGTTTTATTAGCTGCAAACAACCTATGATATTTAAAAACTAGTTTGAGATAAATTATTCAAATTAAGTCTGGAAATGGCGAAAGCCAGTTTGGTACGCCAAAGACAATAATTAGTCATAACTTCAGCGAGTTGCTAAAACTAGGACTTTACAATACGATTTAAATTACAGATAAAGTATTAACAACAGCTGGTTGGGAAGATGAGAGTAATTCTGGTTGTGAGATTCCTTTCAAAATTTAAGCACGAAGTGGATTGCATCTCCGGAACCTGGGAACTTTTTAGAGTCTGTCATTTTATGGGTGAAATTAGTATTGCAACGGCAAACGAGAAAGATAAAAAGTGTACCACTTTTGCATTGCAGCGCAAAGATGTCCGCATAATCGTGGCGAGCTTCTACGAAAGAATGGCTCGGAAGGTTTTCTGCAGTGTAAGTACATGTTGCGTTGTACTTAGCTCGCTCGTGGAATGACATAAGTGTATGGCAGTATAATGCAACATGAAAGAAGTAACACGTAGCAGTCACTACGAAGCACGGACGTATATAAAAAAACCTGGACCTGCAACGCCTTTGTATGAAAAAGAAGCCAACCAGCGGCCATTTTACCGAGCCGATTACAGAAACGTTGGTTGGCTCCCTTCTATTGACGTCAGGAAGAACAAAGGCGGGCATTGCCAGGACAGCTTTGTATTCAGCTCGGTAAAATGGCCGCGAGTGGATTCAATGATCTCTATAAGCTGATTAAGGGCATTGCGAGTCCAGATTTTGTTAAACACGTCCGTGCTACGAAGTCGTTAAGCCTGAAGGTTCATCTAATAAAGATAATAAACTCTTTTTTCTTATTTTTAACAACAGGGAAAAATCTTTACCGGGCCGTATTGAAACACTTCAAATGAATAATGCATGAACATTGCAGTTCCAAAAGAATTAAAATGCATTTGTTTTAATTGACCATTTGACAGTAAGTCGTGTTAGAGAATTTCATAAGGATAACAGATTTTAGGCTGAGGGCCTTTGTGTCAATTAATTAAAACTAAATGAGAGAGTTGAAAATAGCAAATATTTCTTTGCGTTCTGGTTTTTATTTCAAAGAATCAATTCACATGGACATGTTTTTGGACATATACGATTTATCTAGCTGATTCTGGTTCTTGTAAGTACGCAGTAAAAAGCAAACCCATTTGCATGGAGCAAACACAACGTGGCGAGGCATTATTCTCATTATAATCTTCGCAGGCCTAATTCAACTTTTAAGTACGGTACACTCTATTCGCGATCTGTGCTGCATTCAGATATTCAAGTTGGGCATGTACGGCCCAAACTACGTCTGGATGATCCCCGGTTACTATAGCAACGGTTGGTGGATGACGACTGAGGAAGGCTTGGATTGCACTCCGGACGAACTCAAGAGGGCGACAGAGGGATACCTGACCATCGCCTACAGCAAGTACGGGAGGAGCGACCACCCTGGCATCGGAGGAAGGGTAAGTGATATGATTATGATTGCCGTATTTCGTGCCGTATGTTTACATGACCAAAAGACCAACCCCATGACAAGTATGTTCACCCAGCACTGCCAGTGTATCAGTTAAGTTAATATATGAGATTGAATGGGGCAGCGCATGACAGGGGTAGCCATAATCCGGTCCTGTCTCCTTCGATACGGCTTCGAATTTTGTTCCTAAGAGGCAGCGGTGGAGAGCCGTAGCCAGTGTTCGATACTTGTACATGCCGTGGTCTCACATGGAGACGCCGCACCGCGTGTTGCCGACATAGAGCACAACATAAACCGTTGAAAATATTTCCTGCAGGGGTTTGTCTGAAGATATACCTCACATATATATTAGCCATGGACGTTTTTAATGACACACATGATAAAGCAAAAAAGTAGAAGGGTTTTTTTGAAGAGATATTGAACTTTAGCAAGGCAATGACCATCAGGATGGCCTTTAGTTCAACGCTGGCTTCATATTTATGTGTTTGACATTCTTGTGAAAATCCCAATTGCAAGAATATCATGATTTGTTTTGCACGAGGAGAGGAAATAAACGAATTTTCACTGCTCGAAAAAGGCTACTGCATATTTGATTACATGAGATAATTGATTGACAAACTAATCCACCAAATGTCTGTTTCCATTACAAAAGCTCACTGGCGTTTCAGTAGATGACCCTGAAAAACAAGCACAACTAAGTTGAGTAAGGAAACATACGAAATGAACAGAAAAAGTGTTGTATTTTTTGGTGCATGTTCGTCTTTTGAGGAACTGATATAAATGTCTAATATTCAACCTAATCGAATGTTGAAAACCAAGCTGAATCTCCCATTCACAGCACTTCAACATCTGAAATCAAAATTCCAAAAATAACACCGGAACATTCGCTACAGTGTACAAAACTATTTGAATATTTAATATCCAAGAAAGCCCTTGCATTTTACAGTACCAACCCCACGTCAAAGGCGAATACCAAACTAAGGTTACGCTTTTGAAGTACATCGTATGTCAAAATATCAAACATTAAATTACAATCTGCGCATCTGCACAGACCTATTTCTTAGCGAATATTCATATATAACATGGTTTACCGGACAATAGCGGGAACTAATGACCCGTGCTGTTGGATGATCGGTACTTGTCCTAGGCACCACGTACGTGTAGCAAGATGAATATTTATGTCATGTACACGCCCAAGCGACAATTCGTCGATCACCCGGTAACACCTATGCCAAGATATGAACAGTTGTACATACCTAGTGTTGATGAGTAGGGTGTTAAGCAATATTCTTGGGGGAAAATGGTAGGTCTAGTTTAAATTGGATCTCAAGATATCACAAATTAAGGATGACATGTACAAATGGTTTGTCCACAGGAACTTCATTGCTCATAAGCATGATTGAACACAACGAAGACATTGAGACTAGTTATTGTTTGATTAGAAGAGGAAATAGCGCAATTTAATAATATTTTATGGCGGTCATTTCTAATAGCCAAAATGGCCGCCATACAAGAATCCACGCTAATGCCAAATTGGCTTTTGAATTTTCCATTCTCTGGAGACTCTAAAAATATATAGGTTTGCTAATTTCCAAACATTAAAAAAAAATACTGAACCTGACTAGTCGGAGAACAATTACCTTGAAGTTGGATTTACACCTTTGAAACTACCCTCTATAAAATCCCCTCCTGTGTGGCACAGGGGGAATGCAGCGTAGTGTATCATTGCCCGCCTGATCTGCCGTAAAAAGGATTCGTTTAGCTCTTTGTCTGCCCGTCACAAGGTGGTTATATTTAAATGATTAGCACGTCACAAAGTATACTGTATTCCGGTACAATTTTATGTGCAGACTCCAGAGGAATTCAGACAGGAGCTTGCCGACGACGTAGGCTATAACATTTCCGTTACCGATCGCGGCTCTGTTGCCGTTGGCTACGACGGCGTCTGGGCCCTGGCCCAGGCTCTCAAAGCAGCAGAAGCTAACCTCATGAGACGTCTGGACTCCTATCAGTATGGAGACGCTGAGTACGCTCTGACTGTAGGGAAGAGCATCAAGGAAGTCAGTTTCGCTGGCATGTCGGTGAGCTATACACCGTGTCCTAAAATACGCTCACAAACGTTGACATCAAAGGTTGATCTTCAAGACCCTTTAGGTGCGCTGCTATATTTCTACAGAATAGTCATTGGCAAAGGGATCTATCTGAAAAACGATGAGCAATGACAAATTTACACTGGCCTTGTACTCCTCGAGCGAAATGTTCATACCAAGAAAAGAGTGGCCTAGACCCCTGTCAATTCCTGACCACCCAAGACTCGCGAAGCCGAAGACCATCTGAAAAAAATAAAGTGGAATGCTGAGTTGACAACTTCTGATATTCAAACATTGGAAAGATTGTACCCGTATTCCAAAGCTAGTCCTTCCTTACAGGGCCCAGTGAAGTTTTCTCAAGGTGGCGATAGAATGGGCGATCTTCTGATAGAACAGAATATTGGTGAGCAAAACCTTCTGTTTCCTCTTTTAAGTTGAAATGTTAAGATCTGAAAAAACTGAAGTGATAGTATGTGCTGAGATGAGGCTGCTTCTTTTTAATTCCTAGCTTATGGCCCTAATTTTGGCTTGCGATCCGACAGGAAAGATTTTAATAACGGTTACCCTCTCTGCAACGTCTGTCAGAGAAGGGGAAGAAAGTAGAATTCCGCTGCGGACACTTTCATCGGGCCCAAGTGGATCAAAAGATAATTCGAAAGAAGCAGTTAAAATGGGAATCCGATGTCCCGGGAATGAATTGGCTGCCAGAAAAATGGACAATTTGCATTGTTTTTTTCGTTAGTCCATCTTTGAAAAGCAAGCGTTTTCATCGATGGCGACGCATTTTCCTGCAACTGCTACTAAAGTTGCTAACAAAAGACTTATTCCTCGTTTTGTTTTAGTAAAAATCGTGAATGTATAAACGCTTATTCAGCAATAAGACAGCGTAGGCCACCTTGAACACTTTGTATCGTTTAATTTAAGCTTTTGTAAGTTCAAAGAGTTATTCACTCTGTTGAAGTCTCACTTTTCCGCTTTCAAGGCCCCCTCCCCAAATTGAGGGCAAATTAAAAGGGGCGCCCTAAACCACGATTTTATGTCATTTCCAAAGAGGGGATGGAGGACATCGTTGGCGTCTACAACAGCATACAGGACGAGATCACCTGGAATATTCCTACTGAACAGCTGTGGTACTACAGTGGTAAGATAAGTTTGATGAGACAAGAAAAGAAATTCTAGCTAGAAAGGTCCAGCATGCCGCTGCACATAACAGTCACATGCACTCAGCAATCACAGCTGTGATCGACGTAGGTACACTAGAACAGCCACAGAGAGGTTAAGTCACCTGATCCAACAACCCACCGCTGTTAACCAGGCTTTTAAAGAGAAATACCACTCTGCAGAACAGGGCCAAAATATGATGTAATTGCCTGACTTATGTAACAGCTTCACCGCCATGGGGTCTCAGGCACAAAAAAAAGGGGGAGATAAGACATTCGGAAAAGCTGGCTTGCTTATACCC